AACTCTTTTTTCCAAGACTATGGGATTCCAAAGTTGTGGTACAGGGGATTCATGTTGCCATGTCTGCCTTGTAAGGCTGCTTGGAGTATTAAATAAGTGAAGGAATATGTATTGAATGCTTAGACAAGTGCCTGGTACATAATAGGCATCTGGCATATTTGGTTATTCTTATTTATTCCAGAGTAGAAAAAGAACACGGGCTACTTCAAAAACTATTATTTATATGTCAAAATTACAACTGAGTGAGCTGACTACTTCAGGGAATAGAAAGCTGTCCCTGATACCTCTTCAGAGGAATCCTAAGTGTCCCCCACAGCTACCTGCCAGAGAGAGAAGTCAAGAAAATCTCCTGGGGTCTGATGCAAACAATGGGTAAGTTATGTCATTCCAACTACCACTTTCCAGTCGAGTAAAGTATGCTCTCAAACAATGTGGCCTAAATATGACAAGTGCAAACCCCATGATGAGCAACAGAAATCTGGTACCAACCACAGTTAGAGGTACACGTTGAAGCCTGCATCTAGGGCTCAAGCTACAGCAGCTAATTAGGACTCCTCTTCATACTGCATAAAGGACTCTCCCCATTCTACACCACACTTCTGGTTTCCTCACTAATGCTTTTTATTCAGCTTATCAAAATCACTTCAGTCTTAAGAGCATGAAATCTTAACATCTGGATCTGAGGAGAGTTTTAGCTATAAGTTGCTAATTTCTCCCATGCTGCAGAGAAATTTTGGACAGTGTACATGAGTCCTTTCAGACTGGACCCACTCTCTCTGAATCTCAGAGCAGTTTCTTCTTCCTTAATCAGATACTGCAATTTGTTGCTCATTCATCATTGGGAAATTGATCAAACTGATCTATAAAGCCCACTTCTTTCTTGACCTAGCATAATGTTCTCCAAATAAACAAAAATCATTTCCATTTGTAGTTTGTCATAAATTTTATAGACACACTTAGGAATGCAGTAGTTTGTGTATTATGTCCCCAGAGTACATAAACATTAATGTTAATAGATAATAATAAAGCAAAATGAGGCAATAATAAGTAAATTGGAAGAGGCAGTATTTCATATAGACTTACTATAGTTTACCTGTAAACTATAGATAATTATCTATAGTTTACAATTATCTATAGTATTATCTATTAATATATCTATTAATAGATATCTATTAATACAATAATTTTACTGTTATTGTAGATAATAGTAATATTATCTATATTATAGATAATAGTAATATTATCTATATTATAGATAATAGTGATATTATTTATGTTGGAGCAAACAGTTATTGTAAAGCCCTGATAAACCACCAGTCTGGGGCAAAAGTTTAAAAAAAAGACCTTAGTGCAATAGTAAGCTGAAGATATTTTAGAAATCTCAGGCCAATTGTCTATGTGAAAACCAAGCAATTTTTCAAGAAGTAAAGTCTCTTTTCTTTGACTAAACAATTGTACTAAACAAATTTATTGATTGCCTTCTCCCACTAGCAAGCAAGCTGTGTGAGATCAGGGACTACTTCGTTTTGTTGTGCTCCTGGTGCATGGAACTCTATCTGGCAGCTTGGCATATTTAATAAATATTTGCTGAATAAATAAGTGGATGAATCCAAAGCAGGTAAATAAATCAATAAAAGATTTTTTCCTGTTTTCTGTGGAAAGCAGGGCTGTTTCTATATTTTTCTAGCAGATACATACACATAATATATGATATTAAAAATCTAATGAGTTTTATGGGGATCTCACTATTTCCATGGGCTGAATCTTCCAGAAATCTGGGGGATTGTGGAATGATTCTACTGAAAACTTTGGTAGGCTGGTCTCCGGGACTGGTTTGTCTTAGCCTGGCAAATGTGACTCAGCTCTGTATGGAAAACCTACAGAAGTGAAGTGGTAGGCAGGAGCCAGGCCTTCAAACCGAGTTTTCTCATGAGAATCAGGCCTAGAAATTGTATACAGATTGTTATGGCTTGCTCTTGCTAAAACTCCCTCACCCTGGTCCAAAGCAACAAATGTGTATTGTCTATCTTCAAGGTAATATCCAAAGCCTGTATAAATTCTCCCAAGGACAAAGCTAATGAGCTCATCGCCATTCCCCTTTGAATGTTATATTTCCTTGATTGTACCTATAATGTAGACAATAATGTTCTATGTGATAGATAATAAATCTTTCTTTGATATAAGACCCCAGAAAAAGAATAAAAGCCTATCTAGGCAAGGGTCAGGGCGCTCCCGTCTTGAGTGGCTGAGGCACCCATAGGCACTCTCCCCTTGAGAGAGTAGTCATGCCTGTTCTTTTTTTCCACACAGGATTGTTGTCGCCTGTGCATTAATTCTTGTCTTTAGCCATAATAAGCAGACTCTGCTGGTCAGGGTCTGCAACAGGCTGGCACCAACTCTGCAAGATATTCATGCAGCCCAGGTAACAGCTGTGTGAAAGTAATTAAAGAGTAAAACCTCAGCAGTCAGATGGGGGGCTGCTAAATGGTGTTACACAAGAAGAAGCATGGCTTCCTGACTTCTGTATGCCAGGGGAGCTATTTTTAGGTTGCTCTCAATCTGGAAGCAAGAGGAGATCGAACCTGCCTCTCTTCCCACTGTCACGTGGCATAAATACAAAAACAGGCCACAGAGCAAAGTGGGAGTGCTACACAAAGGGAAATTGTTGCCTAATAAATATTGGGGGCACTAAAGGAGAGCAGCCATGGTTGAACACAGATGATGGTAAAAACACATTTGCCATTAGAGGCAAAGAATGCTATGTCATTAGTGTTCACAGTTAAAGAATAATTAGGATGATCTACAATCAGCTGGCATATGAAATGTAGATAAAATAGGCCAAAAGCCCCTTCCATGCACTGTGGAAGTGCAGTGCCCACCCCAAGACTGAATCACTTTCCAAGCAAGCAGGATTCCTACAGCTTTTCAATGCAAACATGAAATTCTGCCCTTTTCTAACTTTATGCACACACACAAGTTATGCTGTGCTCTGCAGGGTGTAATGGCTTAGCCTAGGTTGCTGTCCTCACTCTCTGTGCAGAGCTCTCGCAATAACTTTTAGAGAACCCAAAACTCCCAGGGGAAAGATCCATGTTCCTGTCTTAAACTACCAGTGCTTAAATGCTCCACCAGGGCCCACAACTCTAAACATTAAGTTTCTGGCTCTCACCTGAGCTCTTGTTCACAGTGCTGCTGACCTCTGTTCACACACACCACCTGATGCTATCTTGTCTCTTCACAGAAACTCACTCTTTTTGGGGGCTCAACTTTCACCTTGAGTTTAAAAAAAGCAAGTGATTTTTATATTGGAGCATGTGTCAGAGTCACAGGGGGAGCTCATTAAAAAGACAGTCACAATTACTAATAACCACACCTAAAGTAAAAACAAACTAAGGAAACAACTAGAACAGAAACAGAACCACAGAAATGGAGTTCACATGCAGGGTTAGCAACAGGGGAGTGGTGGGGAAAGGTACAGAGAATAAGTAGCATAGATGACAGGCAGAAAATAGACAGGGGGAGGGCAAGAATAGTATGGGAAATGTAATAGCTAAAGAACTTAAGACACGTGGACATGAATTAAAGGGGGGAATGTGGGAGGGAAAGGGTGTGCAGGGTGGAGGGGAATGAAGGGGGGAAATGGGACAACTGTAATAACAATCAATAAAATATATTAAAAAATAAAACTTAAAAAATAAAATAAATAGACAAAAGTGAAAGTAAAAAAAAAAAAGAGTGCAGGCTGGGCCCCACCCCAGAGTTTCTGACTCAGTTGGTCTTTTGCATGTAGCCCAAGAATTTGCATTTGTAACAAGCTCCTAGTTGAAGTTGACACTATTGTCCAGGAACCACACTTTCGGAACTACCTTTGAAAGCCAACAGCATTATCTGCAGATGAGGACCTAAAAAACAGCCAGACCTGTCCTCCTGCCCCTTTCCTAAGTGACTAGTCTCTGATGTCCCCTAAGAAATGCAAAGCAACCATACATTAAGTCAATGTATTTGTTTGTCTTTATCGGCAATTACATTCCACTTACTTAAAAAAAAAGTTTTGAGGTGACTTTAATTCTTATTTAGCCATTGGCAGAAATACTTAATTTACCTAGTGTGCTCAGAGTAATGCTTTTTCTCCCAGGTGAAACAGTGTTCTCTGTTGATCCTAAAATCTGCCGACTCTGGCCCTGACTCTCATTTTCTCCAGCTTGAGGTGCAGTTGGGGTTGGAGTGTGGAGTCACAGTTCAGAAACCTTGCTGTCTTGAAGTAGGGCAACAATGGTAGTGGAAAAGGGGGACAGAATCCTGGTTTTGAAAAAAAAGTGAGACGTGGCATCAAGAAGCCCACAAATGACCAAAACAATTAAAGTGAAGGCCTCCCTATTCTTAAAAGGGAGGTCCTCACTTCCCCATCCTCCCCTAACCTTTCCACCAAGCTGGACCCAGACATAGAACACAACTCACTGCATCTTTCACTTCATCTTCAAAAACCATGTCTTCTGTTCCCAGGGAAAGGCACTATGCTAGCAGCTACACAAGTCACTGCTGACATCCTCATCCAGAGAGGGAAGCTGAGACCAGAAGAGAGAAAAATGCCACTGTGTCAAAAGCCTCATTCCAGACCACAAATGACCGATGCTGCCTGCCAGCTAGGTTCCCGGTGCACACCCCACACCAGAGGCCTGCTGACTTAGGAGCTTGCTGCTGGAAAACACAGTGGTAGCCTGTGGCTTACCTTTACTGAGTTCACTGCTCCCCCTGAAGTTGGGGCTCTCAGGAGGGCTATACTGGGGGACCTGGGGCATAAGGTCATTTGTTACTTGCTAGTTTCTCTCCCTGAAAGCAGAATGTTAACATCCAACCTACCTGCAACCTAGACTAGCCTCACCCCATTGATTCAAGTGCCAAAGGTCCTGGGGGAACAGTATTCAAATGCTTCTGCTAACCGCCTTTAGCTTCTCACAGTGCTTTCCCAAGAGCATAAAATATGAGAAGTGAAACTGAACATGTCACCCTTTTAATGAAGGCAGAGGAAGAACCACCCTAAAGGTCCTTTTTACTGGGCCTGTTATTTTTCTGCTGGTCACACACAGGCCCTCACCATGAAGGGGCTCACTACTGCCTTCCTCGTCTGGACTCTGATTTCTCCTGAGGGTGGTGGCAGCCAAGCCTGGCCCACACACACAGCCTGCAAGGACGGGGGCTTGGAAGTGCTCTACCAGAGTTGTGGTAAGGTCTTTCAACATAGCCATTTGTTTGGGGGTGGGGGGAGAATTAAGACTCTCAAATGTGGGCTGCTGTAGAGTTTAGTTGGCGTGGGTAAAGAGTGAGGGGACAAATGGCCAAACACTTTTTACACTTGCAATAGGTATGCAGGGGCCATTTGAAGCTCTTGGGAGAGCGAGGAGCAGGGTAAGAAAAGAGCCTGAGTAGAGTGACAAAGAGTACAAGAAAAAGACGCCAAGAGTCTAAATATAGCAATTCACTAACATGACACAGCCTGGAAAAGAATACAATGACCAATGAGTCTACAAACCATGAAATCTCACCTGCTCAAAATGAGAAAAAGATGCTCCAATTCCCTCTCCTGCAAATTGTATACCTGGGTAGTTGATTTAGTTTGCAAAACCTGAGTGAAAAGATCACTTAGGTTAAAGAGGACAGTCTGGCCCTTCTTATGACACTCCCAGGGCTTATGTTGCAGCAGCAGCATTCATCACTTAGGCAAAAACTTATCTTGCAGCTCTTAATGCCGGGGTTTCCTCTAGCACTAGACACAACAAAAGGAAATGAACCTCGGTTGTTATTCCAATGGGATAAACAGATAAACCAATAGAAATTGCAATCTAATGAACAGAATGCAGGGAACTGCTGTAATCAATGTCTGAATGAACCCTTTAGGGATTCTATTAGTCTGTCATAACAGAACACCACAGACATGGTGGCTGAAAGAGCAGACATTTCTTTCTCACAGTTCTGAAGACTAAATGTCCAAGATCAGGGTGTCAGCAGCATTGATTTCTCCTGAGGCCTCTCCCCTTAGCTTCCAGATGGCTGTCTTCTGTCTGTGTCCTCATGTGGCCTTTTCTATATGCCCACACATTCCTAGTGTCTCTTTCTTCTTACAAGGACACCAGTCATATTGGATTAGGGCCCACTCATATAACCTCAGTTAACCTTAATCGCTTCTTTAAAGTCCCTCTGTCCAAATGCAGTCATATTCTAAAGTACCGAGCATTAGGACTTTGACATGAATAAGGGGAGGGACATAATTTAGTCCATTAAGGGGCACTGAGTTGGGAGAAATGAGCCTAGACTCAGGATCATATCTTGGATAAAGAGTTAGAGGGACAGGGTCATGAAAAGACAGGACATTGTGAAATATACTTTGGAGATAGGCAGTGGGCCAAATATGTATGGACTGAAGGAGGTGGAAAGGAGATGCTTGTTAAGCATCTAAGTTGGCCCTACTCTAAGCTGGGGAGTAGTGGACATGTTGCCCTTGACCAGGCAGCTGGTCCCTACAGCTACCACCCAAGGAGCTGTCTGGACCTCTCTGAGACAACTCCACTTTCACCTTATTCCTTTAAAAAGAAGAAACATTGAACATTAAAGTACACAATTTTTTTGTTGTTTTTTAATGTAAAAGAGATTGAATGGCTGAATGCTGGTGTGTTGATCTCATCACTCCCGCTCTTTCTGTGGAGATGGGATGCTTTCTGCTGGCTTCTAATCATTTTAGGTGCAGGATGGCAAGCAAGGTTGGAGATGAATGGACTGCTCAGGATTTGTTTTTCTAATTTATCCTCCCATAAAATTTGCCATGGCTCATCCCTCTTACTGACCAACCTTCAGCCTACAGCCAAGCCTGGCACAGCCTTTCAAGTCACTGCCAGGAGAGGCAAGAGGGGCAGGCACATCAAGGAAAGAACAGAGCATAGCACTCACCGCCCTGGAGATAACTCCTCCCTCTGCTCCAGGGAGTCAGTGAATGTGGCATAAGCCCTGCTCTGGGTACCCAGAAAAAAGGAGTGAAGGAGATGTTGTTCTTGTCTAAGAGTAGGTGGGTCCAACAAATAACAAAATAAATGCTCTTTATAAAGGGCTGTAACAGAGGCATGCATCATGCACCAGGGGTTATGGTGGTTGGAGCAAGTGAGGTTGGGAGCTAAATTTGTCTAGGGAAGGGTCGTCAAGCTTGAGTTTAACCTTTTAAAGAAAGATACAAATGATAACTTTAACATCATGTTCATGAAAGATTTCTTTTTTAAAGATTTTATTTATTTATTTTTAGAGAGAGGAGAAAGAAAGGAGGAGACAGAGAGAAATATCAATGTGTGGTTGCCTCTTACATGCCCCCTACTGGGGACCTGGCTGGCAACCTAGGCATGTGCCCCAACTGGGAATCGAATTAGCAACCCTTTGGTTCACAGGCCTGTGGCCAATCCACTTAGCTACACCAGCCAGGGCCAAAGTGCTTTCTATGTGTTGTTTTACAGGTGTGTAAACTGAGACTTAGAGATATCAGGTAACCTTTCCAAGGCCACACAAGCAACAGAGGCAGAGTTATATCCCTGGAGGCACAGAGAAGGTGCTGAGTAAATATTTGTGCAATTAAAATAAATTAATCCAAAGACCATCTGACTCCATAGCTTTTGCTCTTAATCTCCTGCTGTCTGTTGTTTTGTCTGAAGGCAAATGGAAGAGAGGTGGAAGAAGGAGGGAATGGCATGTGTGAAGTAGGGAGATGTGACCAGGCAGAAGTCAGAGCTCTGCAGAAGGGTGGGAACACAAGGAGGTGAGAGATGAGGTGGGCAATGTGGACAGAGCCCCAGTGCGAAGGTTAATTTTATGTGTTGCCTTGATTGGGAGAAGGATGCCCAGAGAGATGGTTAATATTATTTTGGGGTGTGCCTGTGACGGTGATTCCAGGACAGATTAGCATTTGAATCACCGGACTGAGTAAAGTTGGTCACCCTCATCAGTGAGGATGGGTATCTTCCAATCTCTTGGAGGCCTGGATGGAACAAAAATGTGCAAGGAGGGAGAATTTGCTCTCCACCTGACTTCACCTGATCACTGAGCTGGGCTCTGTCTCTTGCTTGAAGCACTCCTGGTTCCCCAGCCTGCGAACTACACCACCAGCTTTCCTGGGTCCCCAACTCCCAGGCAGCAGGTTGTAGCACTTCTCAGCCTCCATAACCATGGGAGCCTATACCTCAAAATAAATCTTTTTCTAGAATATATGTGGGGGCAACTTTGCCCTCAAGTGCCCCCATCTGCCACAGATGAAAGTAAACACTACCAAGACATGATCTGCTTGGGGAGGAGAGTTGGCCAGTTTCTCAGAGGAAAAAGGCCAGGAACCCCTTCCTCCAGGGGCTTTTATTGGGTTGTAGTACACAGGAATACAGGGTGCCAAGGACCAAACAGTAGATAACATTTCAAAGAAATCTGAGGGCTTAGTCTGAGTCAGAGTCTGTCAGGAAAGGGGGTTGCAGAAACTTTGGGAGACATACTCATTTCCTGCTCAGACCCTTAACATATGAATGAAAGCACTCTTAGCAAAGAAGGTTTCACAGGATTTTTAGGAATTCTTTCTTATGCCAGATTTACCCAGGATACTGCTCTAGCAAGATAAAGAGCTGCACCACCTCCCCATCAGGTTTTCAGGCTTAAGTGGATTAGAGCCAGGAAGCACTTCTCTCAGATGACATGGGGACTCGGGCTATGTCAGAATAGCCAGGGGGCAAGGGTTCATTGCTTTCTCTTTGTCATAGTCCCCCAAGTCCTTCCATGTGGCCTTCCAAGTGATTGTATCTGGCTTAGGTTGCCTCTCTTTCTGTAAGGAGTCTTACCTGTCATCAACACTGACCATGCTTTGGGAGCAGGGAAGTAAGCTGAGTCAGCGTTTACTACCAGAGACAAGCTTTTCCTTCTGCGGCTCGAATTCTGGAGATCGCTCACTCAGACTTAGCCAAGGGGGTAGTTACAATTCCTGAAACCAGGCAGAGCAGTCCACAACAAATATATATGTATTATATATGATATGTAGCATCTATAGTATGTATATATTACATATGCAATTCCATTGGTTATATTTCTCTGGAGGACTATGGATAATATACCAGGAGACCCAGACAAGCTTGCACTGCATCCCTTTGGCAATGAGAAGAGTGCATTTTGGATGAGGTCCATCAGGTAATGAGTAGGAGCACAGATATTAAATTGAAAGCTCTTTGGGGCTACAGGCAGGATTTGTAGTTTGTGGAATCAATAATTTAGGAAAGACACCATAAGAGCCTGACCCAGCATGATTTCAAGAGCCTTAATGTAAGAGGGGATATTTGGTGCACTTGGGGTCAGCAGAAAGGAAAGCAGAGTCCTTGGAACTTCTCTAGAGGTGAGTGCTGCTTCTTATCTTGAAAGCCATCGAGCTGTCAGATCTCAGCTGGTTGCATGCTCCTTCCAGATAAAAATGGTCCCCTTTCAGCCTCTGAATGCATGGTGGGGCAGTCCCTCCCACATCCCCAAGGACTTCACATTGATAACAGAGTGCAAAGGCTACATGTTGTGGTGCCCTGCCCATCCCTGGTGTTTGGGGGCTTCAAGAATTCCAACATGTACGTGGGAGGGTCAGCTGCCAAAACAAAGGGTCCATTGTTTTCTGTTTAATTTTTCCCTTCTATTTTGTTGTATAGTTGTAGTGAAAAGGGGAACTCTTAGGCTACAAACTCTTCTAAATAATACAAAACTCCTTGAAAAGAAAGAACTTCATAAGCACTCACTGGCCTCTTAATACTGACCAGGAAGTGAGCAAAGTTTTCTGAAAAAACAGAAGTCCTGTTCTGTCCAACTGTTAGTGCTATAGTAAAGGAGAGAGCAACAGTCTTTACAAAGCAAAGGGGGAACTAAAGCAGCCAGGGGCCTTTCTCTAGTTAAATCGTAAGACACTTTGCAGGCCTAGAAAAAGCCCAGAGACCCCACCTCATGCACATGGCACAAATGTCCACCAAGATATTTATACGCTGCCTCTACCACACCAAGACATGGGTACATTACAAAAGTACTCATGATGAGAAGATTAACCAGTAGTGAGAGAAGCTGGATAAGGGGAGGGAAGATAAGGGGAATAAAACCAGGGTGGTCAGGACACACAACAGATGAGGCAGTATAAGGGATAAGATCTTGGGTCTGGATCTCATTCCAATCCTTGGGCAATATTCTCT